ACAGCCAACCCCAAATTGCAGCTTCATGGAAAAACAGTTCATCTTGCCACTAAAATTAGCCGCTTTCTTCTATAAGCACTCCTTTTGTAAATGTCCTAGTTACCCAAAAACTTGCAATCATGATTAACAAGATAAAGAACAATAATTCTGAGGGTGGGAAATTTTACATTAATCTTTGAATTGTCTCCATGAATCTCAAAAAGAAAGCATAATGTGGATTTTTAAAAAATAGCCTCTATTCTCTCATTAAATCATTTTGGTTGCTCTTGTCCTCTCCTTTGATAATGTTTCCTGTAAATGAAGTCTTTAGCTTTGACATCCAGTTACAACATCCAGCCATGACTTACTCAGGACAGTCCACGCTGAGATCACTACTAAAGCAAGCATGATCTTTCCTTCCTATCATGACTTTTTGCCTTTTATCAAAATTGGCTACTTCTTTGTGTATTAAGGAATAAAGCATTTGTCTATCCAACGCCCAGCATATTGACCACCTCAATTACTGTTTAATGAATGATGAATGTCTGAGATAAATGTGGTAGCTCATTTTTATTAAGTACTTACTATAATCAGAAATTAGGCCTGAAGCTCTTTATATATTATCTACCATACAGGGTTTATTTACTCCCAATTTTCAGATTGGAAAGAGTTGCTTAAGGAAATTTACTAAATCATCCATGGATGATTCATAGCACATATATCCACAAAGAGCATGCTTGTCCCCTATGCCTCAGCACTTAGGACACTGAGCTTACTCTCTCGATTGGTAACATTCAGGGCTCCTGCAGCCAAATTCTAAATCCTCATCCAGTAGCACATCGAAGCCAAGTACACATTCTTGATCCATTTCTTTTCTCCAAATGATCATGCAATAATAACAAGTAAATCCTGACTAGATAGATCTATTGGCCCAGTAGAGGACTCATTACAAAGCCTGACAACTACTATTTCTATGTGAAGTCTTCTAGTTCTACTTTAAGGAGACTAGGGCTTTTTATGTAGAAACGAAGCCATGTGCTAAATTCTGATGAGAAATACCCAGATTTTTAGGACATTATTGGTTGTCCCATCTAATAGCTTAGTAATCAAAGAATTAATAATGGCAAAATATCATGGAGAACTAAAAAAGAAACTTTATAGACTTTATTAATTCATATCTAGTAAAACTTCCAAGCATAAATTTATAGACAATGTAATAGGAAATACTTAATTTAAACTGAAAAACTTAAATTTGAAATATCTATAAAGGGTAGAAATCTTCCATTTCATCAAGGCTGAGTTAGCCATCACTAATAAAGACATAAGTAAGGAAGAAAGTATAAAAAAAGAAAGGACTTTTGAACCTATGGAGCAGTTCTCTGAGCAGAGAGAAATATTTTATGGAAACCTTGGAGCTGTGTGTTAGGGACTGTTCAGGTGTAGACCATGGCCCCAAGGCAACCTGGCAGAAAGACCAGCGCAGGAATCAATTATATGACCATTATACCCACCAAGATGGGCCTCTCATGATATACTCCAGGTAATATCCCCAAGATAGTATATTCCCATGAAAAACTCTGAATAATACCCACCAAGATGGGCATCCTTTGATAAACTCCAAGTAATACCTACCAACATGGTGCCTCCTATGATGTACTCCAAGAAATACCCACCGAGAAGGTTCCTCTCATGGTATACTTTAAGCTCTCTGCCCCTTTAACCATTCTTTCTACACCTAATATAGATTCTGATGAGTAAAGAAACTTCACAAAGAACAGATTATCATATGATCTCTAGAGACACCTGATTTTGCCAAAAAAAAAAAATTCTCCACTGTTAATACACACAATTTCAGAAAATATTACCAAAATAAAGGGGAAGGTTACATTTTGGGGCCTCCTATAAAAGACTTCAATATTTTACATGGAATCAGCCTGGCCCCCTTTCAAATAGCACCTCACTGCAGTATGGCCCCAAATGCCCAAATGACACTGGGCCTTTGTTGCACATGCTCTGGGCCCACTTCCATCTGGTCTGTTGTCAGGCTAACATCTGTAACTCTATAAAATAACTTTCTTAGACAATGCCCACAGGCCTGACATGTTTATTAAATCATTTTTTATGAACTTGCACTGAATGGATACAGACCACACTGTGAGGCAAGCACCTACATGACTCTGAAAATCGTGCTGTATTTTGAATAGAAAAATTATGAAAATTTAGAAAGGAAAGGATCTATCAAATAATTGCCTGACTGAATTCATCATCAACTTGTCCATTTTATCCAATGCTTATTTTTAATTCTTTTTTTTTTTCCTGTGGTGCTGGAGAGTGCATACAAGGGACACACTCTACCAACTGAGCTTTTTTCCCCAGCCTTCCAGTGCTTATATTTATTTTTATTTTTTAAATATTTTTTAGCCCAAAATGCCCAACTGACACTGGGCATTATGACTACAATACCTCTATTTTATTTATTTATTTTTATGTGATGCTGAGGATCAAACCCAATGCCTAAACATGTGCTAGGCAAGCGCTCTACCACTGAGCTACTACCCCAGCCCACCAGTACTTATTTTTAAATACGTATTGCTTCCCAAGAGAAAGCATTTGCTCCTCATATTGAAAAAAACAGTTGGTAGTTTGCAAGGAATCCTTTTAATAAGTCTGAATTTATTAAATAGAGAAAACATATTACTGATGTTGCCTTACACATACAGGAAATGAGAAGTATTAGTCTTACGTGAGGTCTAAAGCAAGAACCTAAACCTAGGTCTTTTCATACTTAGGCCTCTCCCACTCCCCAGGGAGGCAGTAAAGCTGAGTGGTTAAGAGTGTGGTGATTGAACTCACACTAATGAGGTAATAATCTCAGTTCTATCACTTATTATTGTGAGCTGACACTGGTACTTAGCCTCTGTGCCTCAATTTCCTCATCTAATAAAGAGAATAAGAGCAGCCATCACATGATCTCACCAAGGCTCACTGAGTAAACTTTTAAAATTTTGGTGTTGAGGACACAGTAATCTTTTGAAAAATGTTTTGTCATCATTACTGTGTGTGGTGGTTTTCTGTGAGCCTATCTAATATCAGAACCACAAAACAAGGATCACTGTAACATGACAGGAGGTACAAGGTTCAAATCCTGCTTATGTAATGATGGGAAGGATATTTTTTTAAATGTCTAAATTCCAACTGAAATAGACCAGGAGAGGCACTGCTACAGGCCTTGAAGAAGCAAACTGTCATGTATGACCAGCTTTTGTAGAAGTCTATGTGGCAGAGCTGTGGCAGCCTCTGGACCTGGGAGTGGACTCCAGCCAATAAAATGTGGGGCCTTCAGCTGATTCTGCCAAGAGCATGAATGAGCTCAGAAGCAGCTCCTTCCCCCATCCCAGCCGATGCTGACTGCAGCCTCCTCCAGCCCTGAGAAGGGGGTCTCCAGGTTCCCACTTACACATGACACATGTTTAGGGTCCTAACCCACAGAATCTGTGAGATAACTAATGTGTATCATTTTAAAAAAAACAGAGCAAATATTCTATAAATGAGAGGATAGAAAATATCACCCTTCATCCTCCTGTGCTAACCCAGTGATATTCTGGACATTCTCCTAGTCTTACTTCATACGTATGACTTACTGTAGTGAAGAGAAGTACATATAAAATCCACAGCCTAGATTTTTAACTTACATTATACCCATTCTCCTGTATTAGTACACATATTATTCATATTTATTATTTTTAACAGATGCCAAATCTTCTATCAAGAAGGTAGAGCAAAATTATTTAAGCAGTCAACTGCTGTTGCTTCCACTATATTACTATTATAAATAAAACTCTACTGTCAATACTTGCATGTCTATGTGTTTACTTTTTTAAACTCTATTTTGGATTAGTCCCTAAAAGGAGGCAATCAGGGAAAAAAATTATACATCTCTAAAGAAAACATGTCTCTCTAAGCCAACTTTTAAATGATTCCAGAAATAAAGTGCTAATTTCATCACATTCTTTTTAGTACTAGATATTTAAATTTTTAAAAAAGGTAAAAAAAATGGTACTTTGCTCTAATAACTAAAGAACATTTCTTTTGTTTCTAGAGCAAATTTACATACACTTTTTACATGACTATTTGTTTCAACTTACTGCTTCCTCTTAAAAATTATCTTATGCTGTTTAACCTTTCTAAGAGACTGTCTTCATCTATAAAGTACAGATAATATGTACTATACACTATTGTTGTGAAAATCAAATACAATTATTACCTAAGTAAAAATATTTATGAAGCCTGGTTCATAGAAGTTGCTCAATTGTTAGTTAAATAAATAAATCAACAAATAAGTGGTCAGCTGCGAAGAGCTACACAACAGCAATATCAATCTCAGATTTGTGTGGAACATAGGCCCAAAACTACTAATGAGGAGACAGTGAAATTTTCTAGGTTGCATCCAAAAGATGTCATGTTGATTGAAAAAGGTGGACAATGTCCTTGCCATACCTTTCCCACAAGCACCCACCTACCCTGAAGGTAGAGGACAGGAAGTGCCATCACGGTGCGGCACCACCTCACCAAGTGGAGATGTGAAAGCAGTTCTGTGCATATCTCTGTGCCCCTCTCCCTGTTTCCCTCTCCAACACTGAGGATTCCTCAGAGGGAAAACTCCACCTCTGATGATAACAGTATCTTCACTGTTTCCATACCAAAGACAATATCAGATGTCCTTCTATCACTGGAGAGGAAAACCATCCTATATGTGATCCAAAGAGAAACTACTATGAAAAACATTAAATAAGTTACAAATTGCTATGAAAGGCATCATTGTATCTCTTTAGTGGGTGGGAATACCACAAAAGTAGTTTAGTTTAGAACTTATAATTCTAAGTTAAATCAGCTCTGTTGTAAACCTATATGGGATGTGAACTTGGTCCTAGATTTCTGTTCCTGATGAAATATCTCACAGCTCTTACAAACAGAGCTGTTTGCAGCCAGAATGCAAATAATTTTACTTTTCTATTGTCCAGAATCTACTCTGAGAATATCCACAACAGGTTTGACAAAATTGAAGAAAATAAGTAAACATCATGAGTGAAATGCATTCTTCCTGTGGACCAGGCGCATCAGTGTAAACCATCCCGTCTCTTTGATGCCAAGGACAGCTGTTTGAAGAAACCTCCTCTTCCTCAGGTGGCTCTGATTGCATCACTTCATCACCAGCTGAGCCTCCACAAGTGGTTTATAATTTACCCAGTAAAAACAGATAGTCAAACATTGGTCAAGTCCCCTGAATGGCATCCAGAAAGTTGTCCTTGCTTACAGCACTGCACGTAGCTGGAAAAGTTATGTACAAATACCATGAGCCCTTATGAAAAGAAGAGCTGCCTCCAGAATGTGGTCAGTTTGCTTGTCCTTTAGAAAAAACAGTCAGACCAGAGGGATAAGCACTGAGAAACAAATAAATGCCAATTTAGAAATTGAAGTCAATTTTATATGTTGTAAGCATTTCTGTGCGCAACTTTTTGCATAGAAGATGTTCTCAAAAGCCAATTTAGAAAGTACTAAATGAAAAATGTAAAACTTATCAACATAAAGGGTTTTTATGAGTCTAACAATGATGAGTATTCTTCATACTGAAGTTCCTATAAAGATTACCCCTTCTATAACAGTATCAAGCTAGCTCAATTTTTCAAGGGGTAAAAAGCTTACATCAAAGACAGCCAGACTTCTCATTAAAATCTCTAGAAGTGTAAGAAGCTCAAATAATCATATCCAGAGTATTGCCACTGTGACTTAAGAGACTGCAGATTATGTGAAGAACCAGATGGAGATAATTCTAGGACTGTGATTTTTCTTTCTTTTTTTTTTTTTTTTTTTCAGTTGAAGGGAAGGATTACTTCTAAACATTCAAATGTCCAAATTTTCTTTCTAGTGCCATGGATGGCACCCAGGGCTTTGCACACACTAGGCAAGTGTCCTACCACTGAGTTATACCCCCAGACCTCAAATTCTCAATTTTAAAGTATTTGCAATCACAGCATCAAACTGTTGCAATAATAAAGGCCCACAGAAATTATTAACCCAATCCCCCCATTTTACAGCAAGTAACAGAGACCCAGCTAAATTAACTAATGTGCTCAAAGTTTCATAATTACTGATATAAACTAGAGAGGCCAGAAAAGAGAATGGACATTAGGTCTGTCTGAGATGCTCAAGATCCCCCAGCCTCACTACTAATTATATGGAGAACTACATAAGTAACTGACAGTAAGTGTGCATTTCTAGAAAAAAAAATCAGTATCTTCTTTGTCCATCTACACCCCAGACTCCACATTTCCTACTGCGAGAGCCCACTTTCCTAGCACTCAGCTGTGCTCACCGGAAGGACACACATAGCATTTAGAGGCAAGGCAAAAGCCATGGCTTTTGAATCCTCCTTTTCCTCTTCTTAGTTGGTTCTGGTGTCAGAAATGGTGGACAATGGCAATAGATTCTTCCGTGGGTCTTTATGATCACAAGGGGCATAAGACAGGATCCAGTTTTGCTTGAAATGCACATTTTCTGCTGATCAGTTATGGCTGTTTGAATAACTGTTTTATGCGTCATCTATTTCATTTCCTCTCCACAAAAGCATGCAGAGTGTGTATCCAAGTTTTATGTGCTTGTTGCTACATGTGCTAGTGTTGGGGGGTGGTATATATGTGTGTATTGCAGCAGTTGCTGCCATTCAGAAATGAATTCAAGGACTTCCAATACCCGCCCTTATAAAGGCCACTCAGCAAGTTGGAGATACAATTTATTAACCTGATTTCCACACAAAAACAGCAATTAAAGAATTGATTTAAATGTAGCATCATTTTCTCTCTAAAGGTCCTTGAATGTGGGTCTGACTAATGTGGGGAAGAAAAAAAATCCCTGTGCACTTTTATCTTAGATGTTGAGTGCCACTGAAGCGTCCCTGACTGCTAATCAAGTGACAAAACCACTTCACCGTAATAATTAAAGGAAAGAAGAGACTATTGAATATTTCAAGAATCACAGCAACATGATACTTTTTCAAGCTTATGACACCTATGTAAACAGCATCATTGGGGGGGGGAAAAGTTTAAAATCAAAAGACTATCTAATTTCATTCTGGAATCAAGATATTTAGCTCTATTTTTTAAAAATGCTGTGCATAGGGAAATGGATTACCTTCCAGCATTTTCTGCAGACTGTTCCTCATGACATGGATGTTCTCTATCCCGATAAACTGAAACTTGATATTGGAATAATTGTCTTCATTCTCATAGCCTTTCCCTGCAGCACGATTTGCCATTGCATTAAGCTGCAGTGGTCAGCAAAACAGAATAGTTATCAATTATATTCAGGCCACGAAACAACCAAAACATTTTACAGATATTCATAAAAACATTCAAAATCATGTGCAGAAACATAATATGATATAAATCACTGGGACTCTCTACTGAGCTATGTAGTTCCAGGGACTCACACTGAGCTTTTATTTCAACAGCATGAATTTGTTGGCATGCACAACATTTTCTTAGGTGGGAAGCATTCTATAGATAAACCCTCCTGGAGATGCCTCTTGCAGTTTCCTGTCAGAGGTGCCAAAGTGAATGTGGAATTCTGTGATGGAGCCAAGTTGTTTTGATTTAATAACATATCTTACAACCTGCAGATTGGCAGAATATCAGCAGATACAGCTGTCAACATAATGCTCTATAAGCTTCATTATGGTACCTTCCAATATGATACTGCAATAAACATGCTATCAAATGTCACATTCATTCTAATCTGCCAACAAGGATCCCCCAGATACCCAACTAAACCTTGAGCAGGAATCACTGAATAAAATGAAAAGAGGAATGCAGACACTTGCCAGCCACTATTTAAATCCAGACACCTAATAAATGGGCTTTTCTCCCCTTTGTCACTTTCATTATCATAATTTTGCACATGAGACGTTAGAGGTTTCTTAGTTCAAACTGATAATGGATTCTGAAGAAATTTATTAAGTCCAAAATCTCTCTGCCTGAGCTCTATGTAGTAAAATGAAGAAGGGGACAAGTCCTGCCTTGTCCTGGGAAATGCATCCATTTCTAGATGGACATGCGTCTGCTAATACCCCACTGTTACTGTTGGCCTAAGCAGGCTGTGACATCTTCAGAAACATTTTCACTGACTCTTCTGCTCACCCCACAAAGGGCAGCAGGGATAGCCCAAGGAAAGAACCTATGCCAGGATCACACTATCAGAAAAAAATGGTCACTCTTAAGAGCATGATGCAAAGCAATACTTTCAAAAAAGTAAATTAAAAACACATATATTCTTTGACCCAGATCTCCTACTTCTGATAATCTGACAAAATTTCAAAAGTACCAGCACATAACGACAATGTTTAAGAATGTTTATTATAATATTTTTATAATAGTGAAAGACTTAAAACCCATTAATTCCTCAATAGGGCAATGACTGGATAAATTACAGTTTATTTTTACCCTAGACTACTACCAAGTGTCAAGAAGGATACATGTTTGTGTGTGTGTGTATATATATAAATAAATAAATATATATGTGTGTGTAAGTGTGTGTGAGAGGGTGTAATTCATATAATTATCCGCTTCTAATAAAAGCAAATTTACAGATATGCATTTATGTTTATGCATATTTATTAGGCAAAATAAAATATATGAAAGAATATGCTGATCTGCAACCATTATAGCACAAAGACAGAGGGTGGCAAGTGGCAGGGAAACACCATTTATAAACCTTAGATATTCCTGTATTCCTTCACTGTTACAAAGAACATACATTAACTTTGTAATTTAAATAACAAATATAAATGGATCAAAGGTTAAAAATAAAACCGCAGAGGGTAAGCCACTGCCATAGAGGCTCCCAGGCTCCCATTTCCTTTTTTGTTTTTTGGTATGGGGATTGAACCCAGGGGTGCTTAACCACTGGGCCACACCTCCAGCCCATTTTATATTTTATTTAGAGATGGGGTCTTTCTAAGTTGCTTAGAGCCTCAACAAGTTGCTAAGGCTGCTTTGAACTCATGATCCTCCTGCCTCAGCCTCCTGAGCCTCTGGAATTACAGGTATGTGCTACCATGCCAGACCCAGGGACTCCCATCTCAATAGCATCCTGGCTCCATGATTCAGTTCATGTGGCATCATTTCATTGGGGGAATGTCAGTACCTTGGGGCACTATTCCCTGTCTAAAAAAGAGTCACCTTTCCCCTAATAAAACAGGCTTTAGGCTTAATCAAGGAAACACTGTAATCATGTATCTGAAAGACAACTTATGTTTATTTTTTTAATTTTAAATATTTTAAGGGAATTTAAAAAAAATACTTATAGGCATTGTTCTTCTAAAAACTATGCATTATAAAATGTCACTGCTTTATATAAGCATTTTTCAGAGCTGCTGGTTTATCCCTTACAACAAGCTTCATAAAACAGAACAAATTAATAAGATACTTGCAAGTATCCTTATGTTACATGAACCTTGTGTTTATCCTGTTTCTTGAATAATTCAAGTTAAGCCTGCGCAATACATACCACAGAGACACTCTTTCAAAAAAGTGAAATAAAATACTATTGCTATTATTTTAATCTATAATTGATTCCATGTTCACATTTTTTTAATATTTATTTTTTAGTTATAGTTGGACACAATACTTTTATGTCACTTATTTATTTTTTTATGTGGTGCTGAGGATCGAATCCAAGGTCTCACGTGTGCAAGGTGAGCGCTCTACCTCTGAGCCACAACCCCAGCCCCTCCATGTTTTTAAACCATCAATTATAGATGGTGGGAGAATGGATTGGTAGTCTTCCTCAAAAACAAAGGAGCAAACACAAATCTTGGGAGCAAGTGTGTATTTCACATAATGAACAGAAGGTGGCAATATTTAATCTACCATCCCAAGTGTAATTTTTGTCAGGAGTTTCACCTACTTTATAGGATCTATAACCATAATGTGACAAAAGCTGAAACCCCAAAGCAGGAAACACAGTTTTACAATTTGAAAATATTCAAAAAGTTACTCTAGTATTTATATATATATATGTATATGGAAAATATGCTGTTTGATGATAACAGTATAATGAGTGCAGAGAAGCTCATAAATCAAACAAAAGAAACTTGGTTGTTTCTCAATGAACTGCGTGCCAGGCACTGAGTACAATGATAAGATGCACAAGAATCTACTTCTGCTGTCCTGAGCTTACACTTGCGATGGAAAGGAGAGCACAGAGTACCAAAAGATAACAGACAATCCCCCGAGTGAACGGCAGAGACAGCGACACGGCAGGAGCTGGAGTCTAGAACAACCGGGTGTGGACTACTGTTTCATGAGAGTGAAAGCTCAGGTTGGGCTTCAACCACAGAGGAGGACCCTCAAGATGAAGCAAGAGGAGGAGAGGGACAGGGACAGGGGCAGGTCAGTATCAGTGAGCCATCCATTCCGAGTGGAGCAGAAGTTCGTCTATGGCAGCAGAAGCAAGAGAAGAAGCTCAAAAGCATTTAGGGTCCTCTGCAAATAGACTCATTTAAGAAATTTAAATTTTTAACTGAGATAGCAGAGGATGACTGAGGAATTTCTTAGCGTGCTTAAATAGAAAAAAAAAATGAGATTTATTTAGTGTCCACAACAGAGACTATCCACCAGAATGAGAAGAGAGTGGAGCAGGCAGGCACCGAAACATTCAGTGGTGAATGAGAGGAGGGGTAGAGAACATAAGCCCCATGGAGACCTGTCAGGCTCACTGATGGTCATATCCCTGCACCTCATTTAGGGCCATACCCCTAATACACAGAACGGGAACTTCATGAAGATTGACTGACTGACTGATTAACTGGATAAGTAACTGAATAACAGAATGAAGTAAGAGTACACCAAGACTGTAAAGAAACAGCGTCAGATTCACCCCCAACCCTCAATCAAACAAACCTCTGAAAACACAAGAGTTCATCTGGATCTCAAGTTAAAGGGCAGGCTGGTCACTATCTTAGGCTTGGAGTGTAAGATTTCAGCAGTTACATTTTATGCCTAAGTAACAACGGGTCCTCATCTGGCATAGTTGGGGAACGGACAACAAACGCTGATCTCAGGAGGACGACTGGGCCATGCCCTGGTGTTTGTCCGGTGATGGTCCTTTTCCCTTCCTCCATCCATAACTGGTTCAGTGAAGAACCTTAACTTGCGGCACAATGTGAAATTATGAGAAGATTTTATTTCTTACAACTACTGTCTCCAACTGAGCTGGTCAAAATTCCTCCTTTCCTACTTTGTAAGTAGATAACAGCTTGAGGGACATATTCAGATAGGAACCCAGGTATAATGCAAATAATCTCCCTCCCCCATTCTGGGCTGTGTGGACAGTGAGGGCTTTGCTTTGAGACACCCTCCCTCCTCTCTCTCATCTCGGTTCTGTGTAGTGTCGGGCAGCGGTGGTGAACAGCTCTTTGCAAAGCGAGGCAAGGTTGTGATTCTGTCTCTGTTTCCTGGATCACACTAAATGACCATCTCTGTGAATCTGCTAGGGCATATCTTGGAAGAGGAAGTTCACATGTCACTGACATGGAAATCCACTTTGGTGTGAGCCTGTTCCCTCAGCCTCCCTTGCCAGAAGATACCCCCACAGTCACATGCAGCTAGAGACCCCCAGCAGGCAAGCTCTCTGAGGAAGGTTCTAGTAAGATAATTCATGTCCAGCTCAACTCACAGGAAATTTGCCCTAACAGAGAGCAGGAATGTGAACTGCTCCACTGCTCCCACACCCTGTCTCCCCTCCCATTCTCTCTTCCTCTGCTTGCTGCCAGGATGGCCCTCAGCAAACACGATGTATGTCTGATTACGAAATGAGACCCTAGATTCTCCTCTTTCTGGCAATCCTAATCTTTACAACTGAATTTCCCAGATCCAGTGAGTAGATAATGCCACCTAATCACCAACTCCAGAGAAAAAGAAAAACATCCCACGTGGCATCATGTCACGCCACAGGAAATCGTTGAGAAGGTGAAATTGGAAGCTACACCCACAAAACAGCCTCTGGAGGTGCAGCAAGGACAAAAGGCCGAGCACCAATTGAAGCCAGTGCCTGGCTCAGCACTTCCTCCACAGGGGCTGGTGTTCAAAGTACAGCTCAGAAACCTTTTTGCTTCTCTGGCCTTGGCCTGACTTTGGATGAACTAATGGTTAGTTCTTCAGGTCTGAGTCTGCAGCTTCACTTGGTGTGTGCTCGGAAGTAACAATCCTCTGGAACCCTAACATGGGGATGAGGTTCCCCCGGGAAAGATTTCATACACACACACACACACACACACACACACACACACACACCGAAACAAAACAAAACAAAAAACCCACAAACCACCATGAACAGACAGGCCTGGATTTCGATCTGAATTTTGTGTGACCTTAGGTAAATCTGGACCTACACCCTTACCTACGAAATGAAAAATCTCCTAATTTGCAGGGTTCTTATGTTAAATGCGAAAGTACCTGGAGTTTTTAAAAGCTCAGCAAAATCCAGAACATGGAGAAGGGTATGAACAAGGTTGAGATATAATGAGTTATCCCTCATTTTACAATCCAGCAAATACCGCATCAACGCCTTTGCAAATTTTCCTCATGCACCAGACTCTAGCGGTAATATGTGACCTCGAGGACATAATTTTTGAGGAGATATTCAATATGTGCTTGAGGACTTCACTACCTTTGCCTCCCATGATTGTATTGTCAATAAGCAGTTTAGAAGGCTTTCACCTGAACAAGCTGCTCTGGAGGCTGTCCTGTGGGGCTAGCCTTGCCCAAAGGACCTGACTCCTTCAGGCTGCCTCCAAAGCCTTTCTCTTTTTAATCAAACCTATAAGCAACTTTAGGAAGTACCAGGTTTGCCACTGTCCACACCTTCTATGACTAACATGAGCTCAGTCTCCCGGCTACCAAGGGAGCCTAACACACTCTGGAACAAAAATCAACATACACGATCTCTAAAATAATGAAAGCACGAAGCAAACAGTTTAAAAATCATGTGAAGTGTGTGTGCAGGGATAAATACGAGAAGAGGGCCACCAATTTTCTTTAATGGATCAGTGTTGAACCACTTATCTCTTAGAGTAAACACACTAAGTGCTAAATATACCCTTCGAATCAAATCCTTTGGATTAATTTGTTTTAAATCTGGAATATGCCCGGCCCTACAGCTGCTACATTCTAGGGAAGGCTTACATAACACAGTGCAAACTTGGATCACTGGCTCTTAAATTAGCAGGTGAATCTGTCTGCCTTTATCTGAAGATGGAAAAACAGGATAGGAAAAGGGCTTTCCAGTCTCTACTCAGTTAAAGCCCTGGTCTTTTCTTCAGTATGTGTGTCGAAGAAGCAGGCGTTCATTCATTCATCCTCTGTAACTACTAGGAAATCCAGAAGACCTCCACTTAGGGAAGGCAGTCAGCATTTGCAGGAAGGGGTTAAAGCGTGAGTCAGAGAGAAGGTCACAAACTGAAGGAGAACAGTACAAGTCAGAGATTTTTCTGGCAACTATCAAGTGAAAATCGTTAAGCTGAAAAGCTATTTTTGTTTCTAGTTTGAAGCTTTTGCCTATGTGTTGTGCTTTGAGAGTGTATCTAAAAGGAAGGGATCTGGATGTGTAATCTCCTAGAATGTGACTATGACCTGGCTGTAGCAGGTTTCATCGCTGGTTTCCACGACTGATTTGCTGATCTGGCATGTGAGAACAACTCCACCCTTACTATTCCACACGGCTATTCCATAGCACACTCTGATCAGAAACAGAATGGACTGTTCTGAGGCCAAGGGCCTGAGGAGAACACTGACATTACATGAGGAAGACATTACATTAAGTGACGGAGGAAATGAATCACAGTATTTTTTAAAATGAGGCTCAGAGAAGCAGTGAAAATTACCAAGGTCTGAGTATCCATAAAAAGATTGCATCCCATTCTCATTTTTTTTCTCAAATTGCCACTGAGTACAGACTATCTATAAATACCTATTTTTAATAATGTATTCTTTGAGTGACTGAAGCTGTGGGTCCTACTTTTCTGTTCTTTTTTGATGCTCTTTTTATTTTCTTGTGTTCCCCACCACCGCCAGCTGGTACTAGGGATTGAACCCGGGGCTTTGTGGGTGCTAAGCAAGTATTCTCCACTGAGCTATACCCAGCCCCTTTGTGTTCATTTCTTAACAACTTCACTGACATATAATTCACATGCCATGCAATTCACCCATGGAAAGTGCAACTCAATGGTGTTTGGTATAGTCACATAGTTGTGCAACCATCACCATAATCTAATTTTAGAACATTTCCATCACCTCAAAGAACAATCTTCTACACATTAGCAGTTGCCCCCCTCACACACCATTTCCTCCCATCCCCCCAGCCAAAGCAATAATCAGTTTATTTTCTATCACTATGAATCTGCCTGGGACATTTTATATAAAAGGAATCTCCCAGTTGGGTGTCCTTTGGCATAAACTTCTTTCACTTAACATAGCATTTTCAAGGTTCATCATATTGCAGTGTATCAGTACTTCACCCCTTTTATAGCTGAATAATATTCCACTGAATGGATATACCACATTTTATAAATCCACTCTCAGTGAATTTATATTTTAGTGAATATTTATTTCCACTTTTTTAGGCTCTTATTAATAATGAATAAACATTCAAATACTGGTTTTATGTGGACATGTTTTTGTTTCTCTTAGGTATATATCTAGGAATGGAATTGCTGGTCATATTGTAATTCTATAACATTGAAGGTCCTTATGCTCTTAAAGCCTTTTTATGATGAAAAGAATTCCAACAGTAATTTTTTTTTCCCAACAGTAATTTAAAAAGTAAAAAAAATCTTAACATTCACCTCTCACCAACTACAGGTTTTGATATACACTTCCCCCCTCAGTTTTTTTTTTATTTCCCAGCAGGATTATATCCTACTCTTGTTTAATGGTACGTGCTAGACTCCTTTCCTTTCCATACTCACATGGAGAGAAAGAGCTGCATGTATATTTTCACTCTCATCAGTCATAGGCCCAGATGTATTTCATTATTGGACAGAAAGTACAATGGGAAATATATCAAATAAAGGACATTTCACTCTGTCATCTCAACCCATGCAATATATTCACTGTACTTAGAGGTGATTCGTTTCTTTGTTTTCACTGGCATATCCCTCTGGGGACTCTGTTTTTTGACTGATTTTGAAAAAACTGGGTCTAAGGAGCTTAACTGGAAACCTGTACTGTCCTTAGTTCTGTGCTTTTAAAAAAGTGAAGCTGAATGGGAGGGAAGTGAAAGATCCCCTTGGCCTGCCCCTTGCTCTGTTATTTCCTACTAGAAGTTTCATCAAACTGGAAGATTAATACATAGAAAACAGACAAGTAAAAAGTTCTGTACCTCCCCAAAGCCGCCTTTCTCCATGGAATTTTAATAGCTTGCTGTTCATCCTTCCAGATCTTACTCTATATACTTTTACATATGTACAGGTTTTTTACATGAATATAATAGTATACATATTATTTTGTGACTTTTTTAAACTTAACATTATATTCTGTAGCTCTTTCCAAATCATAGGTATAGATCATCACAGGTAGAAGTTGAAAGCGTGTATCTGAATGCCTCACAAAAATTGAACTGCTGGAGCTCCACAGTAAACTTCATATTGTCAGAGCAGAAAGAGGTGTTTTAGGAAAAAAAAAAAATCAAATGGTCCCTGGGTGTATTTAGGAGGGCAATTTCTAAAACTAAGCCAGCCTCATTTAATGTGCTCACAAAGCTAGGAGCAGGGGAAACAGAAAATGTGCTTGACACACTCAGCCCTTCAGGAGCTTAGGCCCTCAGAAAGCAGCCCAGCAGGGCGCCCGAGTACTGACCATGCAAAGAGGAACAGCCCCTGGGCAGACCCAGCAGTGGTGGACTGTCAGCTCTGCCTGGACTCTGGCTGCCCACCGCAGGGCCGCATAGAGGCATTGGAATGGTGCCACTTACTTTAGGCCGAGTGTCCACAACGTAAATGAAGTCGCTTCCTGGATTGGCTTTCCTGATGGCCTGGAGCATCTGCTCATCCTCCAGGCACCGTGCACTAAAGCCGGACAGGGGCTGGCTGCTCCGGCAGATGGAGGCCTGCGGGAGAGCCATAGAGACACAACGACATCAGGCAACAGCACCCAGAAGACTCTGGAGTTATCTCCCCAACAGAGACCCCTTGGTTCACCTACACCACACACCCGCTTATGAAAATAAGGTAACACTGTCTCTGGAAATCAAGATTTTTTAAAATTTTTAATTCAGGTCAAAGAAACCACTTCATGTGCAAACAGTACGAAAACTCTTTGTGTAAGATATCAGGAATGTGTAAAGATGTTTATATAGGATCAAAATTATGAAATTTAAAGCCATTTAAATAACCTACTTTCCTTTTCACTGGTATTGTTTCATTTTCCTGCCCAAAGCAGAAATACAAAATAAATATTCTAAAACTTACAGGATAGAGCTAATGGCAAGACCAGTAAAAAAAAAAAAAAAAAAAATACATACGCATACACATAGCTTTGTGCATGTATTTTTAATGCTATGCTGCTGGTCATTTTTTCAACTAACCTATTTAAAAACATTACCAATACTAAAAAGCAATTCTAATTCTAAATGGTAAATTTCACTGTAATGAAAACCCAGGTTGCTGCCAGGTTTGGTACCAGCTTGACACAAATCTGTGCTGACTCCAGTGTGCTTAGAATCCAGGGGCTACTGTTGGCATCAATCTGCATTCTTTACTGTGCTGTCCTTACCCTGCAATTCTAACATGGTACATCAGCCTTCCATATTCATAGATCCCACATTAGTGGATCAAAATATTCAGGAAAAAATTGTGCCTGTACTAAATAAGTTCAGACTTTCTTTGGTCATTATAACAATATAGCATAATAACTACTTACAAAGTATTCACATTGCACTGAGTATTTAAAATGATCCAAAGAAGATATTGCACAGGAGGATGCACTCAGGTCATACACAAAAACATGCTATTTTTGTATCATCAGACTCTGGTCTCTGAGGAGGATCCTGAAACCATTGCCCGTTCAGGGACGGCAGTGTACTGCAACGTTAAATGACATGTGGAAGAACACAAACCTACCCCTGAGTTGTGAATAAGTGAGTACAGATGAACTTGCAGCTATAAAACATAAGGTTTTTTACCTAAAAAATATTTTTTAGTTGATAATAGACCTTTATTTTATTTATTTATATTTGGTACTAAGAACTGAACCCAGGGCCTCACACATGTTAGGCACTCTACCACTGAGCCACAACTTCAGCCCAAAACCTACGGTTTTTTAGTAAAATATCTTTGTGTAGATTTAAACTTTGCTTTAATGTTTAAATTAAATATATAAATCTCCCAACAAAATACATGAATGACTCAAAGAATCTACCTTAAGTCTTCAATTCCCTTGGGTAGGAGGAGGCAGTAGTCATGGTGGTGAGAAGTGAACCCCTCCAGACAGACTGAGAAGGGGAACCCCTTGTGGGAAATAGTCTCCATATGTCATTTCCTGCCCAACTGGCTTGATAATAGGGCTCCACCCACGAGAAGGTGCCCTCTCTGGGTCTAATTTCTAGCTTCCCAGTTCCTAAAGCCCAACTCAAGATAATTTGGCAAGGGCTTGCATTTCCCCAGAAGAATGTGGGCATCGGTGCCCCTCATGGAGCAGGTGGGGACATTTCTCACTAGTCATAAACATCAAGAATCATAGACTGGCTAGACACATAGACATCTGAGGATGCCAGTTCTATTCTGAAGTAGAAGAAGGCCATTACTGATGTGGTTCAAGGAAATCAGGACCTGGAGCTACACTCAGAATTCAGGAGGGCAGTGCATGGAAAATGGAAAACAAAGCAAAGGGGCAGCTGAGTCCCTTCAGAGATGTCTAGTTCTTGAATGCAGGGAGAGGAGAGGGACCAGAGGGTCTGAACATGGGAGAAGAGGACAGCAAACCAGGGCAAGACCCAGAAGCAAGGCAAAGAGAGACCCAAGGACACTGGGGAGCAAAGGACCAACAAATCGCCATCGATGGCTTGGCCTGGCGTCCGGCTTCCTTTCAGTAGTGGTCTTTATGGGGTCAGAGTCTGCCACCCTGCTCTGAGGGAATTCTGACTGGAGAGTGAATAATTCTGAGTTGGCTTCACAAGATATTTTATCTGGGTTAAAGAAATATTAGTTGAGGACGGCTAGCACCAGGCAACCTGTTAGATTCTATTAGAAGAGTAAGGGAAGGGACCTCCTCTAAATATAAGAATTGGTCTGTGAAGCACACACCTAAACTCACTAAGCCAGTGAGATTCCAACCATGAAGTGAAGCAAATTAGTGACAGCAACAGTTACCAATTACCTTCTGGGGCAGAGAAGCTAGATTTAAATGAGGGGTTAATCAGAACAGTTATACTATGAAATGTGGCTAATATATTATACCAGACATGTTAAATGGACTTCATGCTAGTGTTTTGTGGGTCATTTTCTGGACCTATGATGTGCTCCAAAAAGAATTCCTCATTGACTCAGGGATTCCTCACATGCAGTTTTCAATTTTGTACCAAACAAGTGAGTGGTCTCTGAGTGTTTCTTCATATCCTATAAACACTCTAGATAATCGAGAGGTTAAGAAAGTATTACTAGTCCCTGGCAGCACTTCCTACAGGTGTCAAGGTCCTGAGAACAGAGGTTAAAACATCCCCAGTGGTATTATCAGGAAAGCTACTTATTTACAAAGCTACTAATCATTAAAATCTACATGTTTTGAGTGCATATGTGGCAGGCACATGTTTAAGAACTTCACTTTGAATTTGGTGCCAACATACCTTATATACAAACAGAGATATAAAAAATTGTGGTATATATGTGTATTAAGAATTGTAATGCAAAATAAAGAGTACATGTATAGTGGCATAAATTGGCACGAACATACTTTATATACAGAGATACGAAAAATTGTGTTCTATATGCGTAATAAGGATTGTAATGCATTACACTGTTGTTGTGTATTCAAAAAATAAATTAATTAAAAAAAAGAAAAAAAGAACTTCGAGTATTTTATTTAATCTTCTAATTATCATATATAGTAAGAGCTTTTATTATTTATAGATGAAGTGATGAAAGCACACAGAGTTTAAGGAACTTGTTCAAGATCACACAGTTAGTAATTAGTAAAACCATGATTTTCATCCAGACAATGTTTCCTGATCCTAAATTCTTACCCAAAAGTAGCACCCCCAGCAGAAAAATAAGCCAGATGGCCTAATACAGCATCAAGAGCAGCATTCAAGAAGATCTGGCTTTTAATCCTAGTTTTAGTCTCACTTACTATATGACCTTGGGTAATTTATGTATCTTTTCTAAATCTTAATTCTCGCATCTATAAAATAGTAATAAGATGAAAACCAAAGTGTGTGATAAAGTATATAACACTATAATGCTCCTAGAATTGTGCCTATCACATAAGAGGTTTCAATGAATATTAGTGATAAAAAGAAAAGCTGTGTTTTTCTTAAGGAAACGTCCATTAGAAATCTTCAAGACTTGTGTGTCCCAGAAATTTATGCTGGGAATTTAGAAAACCATGTGGTGCACAGTTTAAAGCAAATACCTCTCTTTTTTTAAAGATAATATAATAAGAAGAAAGAATGTACCAATTCTGAGAGCTCTTGATTACAAACATGCACAAAATTGTGATCACTTATACATCTCTATCTGTGATCTGCAAAGCGATTTGATTCCAAAGGGAGTCCATGAGACTCTACCTAGCCCAGGTGTGGTATAAGCCCTAAAATTAACCTTATGGGTTGCCTTGACATCTGGTGAAACTGAGAGGTCCCCAATGCAAGCTCCCCTCAACACTCTGCTTCTATGGATAAACAATTCTCCTTATCTAGCAGGGTAGGGGCAGTTGCTGTTCGTCCCCGAGAATGGTGTTTCAGTTTCCCAGAAGACCACAGAATTATTCAAATAAGCCTGGGGTGACCTCACCATGTTAATGCTACAAAGCCTGCCTCTCCCTGACCCTGCTTGTCCACTGAACCCCAATGCAACCCCCATGTGGATATTTGTGGCATGTGGTACCCTCCTCCCCTGGGCATTGAGTCCATGTGACCTCAAGCTGCTGTGGATCTACTATGTCCATTGTGAAGCGTCATGAGTTTGGCCATCCCATCACTCTAAGCCATCCTAGATTCACCAACAAGTGTGTAGGACATGATTACAACACTGTGTATGGCAACAGTGGATCCAAAGGAAATTAGGAACCAGCGGCAGGAGCATTTATATCAAAAGACCCTCAAAAGGTTCATAAAATGAACATGGTTAGATCTGATTCCAAAGGAAGTCCATGAGGCTCTATCTAACCCAGTCATCTAACCACCAATTCCCACTGCCCAACGTTAGCCAAGTCATCTTACCATCAAAATGTCCCTTTAGTAATAGCCACACACACCCCGGGGAGGGTGCATTCCAGTATTTTAACTATAAAATTGTTATTCTTGTTTACAAGCACAACGTTCTATTGCTGCGGGGGGGGGGGGGGAACATAGTCTTAAACCTAAAAGGTCAAAATCACAAGAGAGAAAGATCAGTACACTTATAGAATTTGTATCCACTAACTTTTTATGGAAGATGGCCTGTTCCATGTGTGGGTTTTGATGAACAATGACAGCCAGAAGATTTCTCAGAGGGGGGATACTCAGAGGAACATGGTCATTAAAAGGGGGATGGAAAGAAAAGGAAAAGAATGTGTCGCAAACTTCAGGGACTCTTCTAACATCAATATGCAAAGGCCTGCCAGCACTGGAACAGGCAGAGTCTCTCAAGAGGACTGCTTAGAGGAGGCAGGAATCATGGAAGATCAAGCTCAGGTACTGTCTGAATCCAACCCATTACTTTATTGTCAAATAAACACAGAGGTCCACTTCTATATGAGATGAAGGTCTTAGCATAGTTGCACTGAGTTATGCCAAACGCAGGAAAAGCCACATACCTCTAAAGAATTCAAACACACTGTGAACAGAGGGCAGCTAGAAAAAGTTCTGGTGATGATAAAACAGAAAAGCAACGTGTGAAACAAAAGCATGCCTGGAGACTTACGTGGTTATCTTTATAGTAGTAAGAAAGGGCAGGAAATCGCCGTCTACTCCGGAATTTGGAACTCCCTATGATGATGTGTGCCGTGGCTGATTTGGGAACATACAGTTCAGTCGGGTAAGAGTCACAGACCTATCACCAGAAAATACAGAAGGATTTTTAGACAATTGAGTAATCTTTTGTAACTGCCACCAGAAATTCCACTTCACCATACTTGTAGGTGGCATACGTTAAGTTTTTTCAACTAAGTTACAGAGGAAGTTTTGAGAAAACCAAAACACTTCCAAGAAATAAAGTGTCACTGATTCTTTGTGATGACTCTGACAATAAACAAGACACCCCTGGGCATCCTGTCCTTCTACACTGTCCCTGTTCTCCTGGGACCCTGTTTGTGAAGCAGTCCAGTAAAAATTGAGCATTCTGTCCATTACAAAGGGACAAATTGGAATTTTTGCCTCCTAACAGCTGAGAAAACTTAAGCCTATTTGATTGAAAGACTGCCTGACACTGGGGACAATTTTCCTAAAATACAAGCGCAGTAGCTGTCATCAGATTACGTTTGTGTCCCTGGCACAAAGGCTCGCATTCCTTCGCCCTCCCTGGATACTCCTGTCCTGCCTTCTCAAATCTCATCGATTCTTCCAGAGCCAAACCAAAGTTCCAGGGAGCCTCCTCTCTGATCCTCCAGTTCATATAGACTTCTGAATCTGATTTCCTAATATGCCACTCGTTACCACACAATACACAGCTTTATTTATATTTGATTTTTATAAGTGTTGATTTGTAAGTGGTAAGAAATGATTTACTCTTTCTGGCAGGAATCATCACAGTGGAAACTCTCATACCTTAGAAGGATTTTGTAATTTGCTTCAGCACCTGGTTCTGATTTAGCAACTTTATGACCCTGGAGAAGCCAGACTAGCACTTTAGTTTTCTAATCTCTAAACCCAACACTGCAGCAATAATATCTCGAGGGGTTGATAAAAGGATCAAATCAGATAGCACTCGTGACAAAGTACTTTATAAACTGTCACAGCTGAAAGGAACACCAGTGGGAGCAAGTTATAGCTGCTGCTCAACACATTTTTTGCTTTTGCATCAGTACATCAATCTTTCTGCAATGTGTCAATTGCAGTATCTTGGGCTTTATCAAGCAGCTGTTTATTTCCTTCCTAGGCAAATCAAGAGTTCTCAAGAAGGTAGAGCAATGGGGAAATACTTTATCTGCAGATCCTCTGTCCATCTCCACCCACCCTTACCACTCTGGAAGATGGAACTAAAGGGAGTGCAAGCCAAGTACATGTGAGATGCAAGTCTCCTAAGCTCTTTCAAATTGTTTCATCATGCTGCCCTCCCTTGCCTGCCTTTACCATCTTCATTACCAGACTGGTGGACAACATGGAGCAGGAGATAAAAAGGCCACAAAGGGAATGTCCACAGGCCCAAAGCATAATTTTCGGATTCCCCCAAAGATATTTTAGGAAAGATTACCAAAGAGTTTACTGTGGGCTCTGGCACCAGCACTCTGGAGGAAACTCCTGTACTAAGAACAGATGGCCAAGCCTACTTGGACTGGGACAGCTAAAATGACTGCTGCAAGACACGGACTTCTGTCCCCATGCCAACCCACTATCTAAAGCCGCCTGAAGTCAGTCTGCTAGATCATTACTACATAGACCACTCCTGCTTGTCTGAGGTTCAAAAGACATGCAGTCATTGCACCAGACAGACATTTTCTTAAAATAACAGTTTTTTAAAAAGAAATAAGTAGGTTTTTCACTAAATTGGGGACTACCTACTTTCTTCCTTACAACAACAGTAAGGAATTGCGAAATTTTATGACTAAATGAAAGAAGATTAAGTGGTAGGCAATAGTTCTCAGCATACTTATTCAATATTGCTTCTGAATATCAAGAGGTGAGTACAAAACTTTTGAGTTCCTCCCAGGTCCTTTGACGGGTCTCCCAAAGCCAGAAAATGCCCAGCCTGGCTCAGGTCATGGCCCTGGGTGCACCACAGATGGAATGAGACCAAGAAAGACAATAAACATCCGGAGCCCACTCTCCTTGACACTCTCAATCCAACTTAAGGACCATATTATTGTCTATGCGTGCACAGTCTTCTTTGTTCACCTGGGCACCAGAAAGGACAGACCCCTGCCCTCAGACTGTCAGACCTCTCACTCTCCAAGACAGAAAAATGTAGACCTTCACAGCTTAGTGTGTGCAAAGGCCAAGAACTTAAGAACCTGAGCCCAGTCAATAGCAGCCAGGCTTGCACTGGCTGGCAGGATCTCCCCCTAGGAAGATGATAACCAGTTACAAAGTTTCCTCCTTTCCCCAGAGCACTGGGTCTCAGGAGAAAAACTCCACGGTACATACAGAGCTTTCTGATGAGTTTCTCATGGGGAGCTCTAACAAGTTAAAACACCTTTGAAAAAACTCAGACTCAGTGCCAGTTAAAAAAAAAATACAACTTCTCATAGAGCTGAAGAAAAGAAATTCATCCTGCTTTCATCAAAGTAGACAACGCTCGTGAGTGCAAATTAAAGTAAAAATCCTACATTGAAAACTACAAAACACTGATGGAAAAAACTGAAGAGGACACAAATAAATGGAAAGGCATCCTATGTTTGTGGATGAGAAGACTTAATACAGTTAGGATATCCATACTACCCAAAGCAACCCACAGATTTGAGGCAATCCCTATCAAAATCCCAAGAGTGTTTTTTGCAAAAGTAGAAAAATTCATCCAAAAATATGTATGAATTCTCAAAGGACTCCATATAGCCAAAATAATTTTAAAAAGAACAAAGTTGGATGACTCATACTTCATAATTTCAAAGTATATTCCAAAATCACATATATTTTATAATAATCAAACAGTGATACTGGCCTAAACACAGACAAATAAATCAATGGGATAAAGAACTCAAAAACAAATCATCACACACACACTCACACACACATACACACACACACACATATTCCAGTGACCCTCAGTAAGGTTGTCAAGCCCACTCTAGGAAAAAGACAGCCTCTTAAACAAATCGTGCTGGAAAAACTAGATACATACATACAAAAAAAAAAATTGAAGGCAGACCCTTACCTTATGCCATATTCAAAAATTAACTCAAAATGGATTAAAGACCTAAATGTAAGATAAAAATTTATAATGCTCCTGTAAAAGTAATTCAGGGGCTTTATATGGTGATGCACAACTGTAATTCCAGCTTCTTAAGAGGCTACTGCAGGAGGATTGTAAGTTTGATGCCAGCCTTGGCAATTTAGTGAGATGCTGTCTCAAAAACTAAAAGTAGCTAGTAATATAGTTCTGAGGTACAGAGCCCCTGGGTTCAGTCCCCAATACTACACACACACACACACACACACACACACACACACACACACACACACAAGACATAAGGGAAAAGCTGTATTGCATGGGGCTTGGCATCGATTTCTTACATATGATACCAAAAAAAAAAAAAGAAATAAGATCAATGGGAAATGGGACAGATGGGAACACATCAAACTTAAAAATGTGGGTCTAAGTACATAATCAAAACAATGTAAAGGCAACCTATGGAACTGGAGAAAATTTTTGCATATCATGTATCTCCTATATTATTACCCAGAACATAGAAAGAACCCCTACAATTCAACAACAAAGTCCAATGACCTGATTAAAAATGGGCAAAAGGCTTGAATAGACATTTCTCCAAAGAAGATACACATAATTGTTAGGGTTGTCACCATTTAGAGTAAAACAGAAAATAACAAGGGTTAGCAAGGATGGAGGAAAAACTGGAACCCACTGTTGATGGACTGTTAAAAAGTGTGACCACTATGGAAAACTGTAGGAAGTTTCCTCAAATTTTTAAAAATAGAATTAGCGTACAATCCAGCAATCCCACTTGTGGGTAAATAAACAAAAGACTTAAAGCAGAGTGTCAAAGGGATGTTTGTACAACCATGTTGACAGCAGCATTATTCATAACAACCAAGAGGTGAAAGCAAAGCAAATGTCCATCATCTAAGGAATGGATAAACAACATATGGAGATCTTTAATGGAATATTATTCAGGCTTTTTTAAAAAGCAGGAAATTCTGTCACATGCTACAACAGATTAACCTTGAGGACATTATGTTAAGTTTCCTATGCCACTCCAGAGACAATATTGTATGATTCCACTGATGTGAGGTTATATAAAATCATCAAATTCATAGAAACAGAAGTAGAATGATGGTTGCCAAAGCTTAATGGGCACAGAATTTCATTTTTGTAAGCTGATTTATTATAGAGATAAGCTAGCAACAATGTGAATATATTGAGCATTACCAAACCATATACTTAAAATGGTTAATATGGCACACTGTATGTTACGTATTTTTTACCACAATAAAAAAAAAAATTGTGGTAAATTGTCACTTATACTACAGACTCAGAGCTGCAGTCCAAATTCTAGTAATAAATCATGTACCACATTATAGCACAAATGAGATTTTAAATATGGTGGAAATATAAGCCACCATTAACCTCAATAAGCTTCCCACAATTTTGTCTGGTTTTGAAAATCAAGAAAGAAAATTCAGAGAGAATAGGAAAAGTTCATAAATGTGAAAAAAGCTTTTTTTCTGAAGATTTTTTCCTGAATCTTTTGTTTCTTCTGATTGTGCCTTAATTATGAAAATAGATTAGAAAGTTAATCATTTTAGCTTTTAATAAATAAGGAAAACAATTTTCTTTTCCTTCCACTAAATAAATTAGCCTGCTGGGAGTGCCCTAACATCTCTGTGTTGTCCTACCCTGAGGAATTTTCTTGGTAATTCTTTCACCCCATTCAATAAGCTTTTGCTGAGTACTTACTATATTCCAGGCATTGTTTTTAGGCACTGGGGCAGATATAAACAACAGAATTTGGGACCTTGAACATCTCATATTCCTGGAACAACTGATCTTTGTTGACCTGGTTATAAACTTCCAGTAAACGTACGTATTGCTGTCCCAGGTTGTTTTCCATCTCAGATGCCATCCAGGTGGTCTGAGACCTCTGTATTCAAGGCCAATTACTCAATCAAAAACTTTCAGATAAGTGTTTGTTGTCAGGAACTGGGACATACCTACATACAAAGTTTCTTCTTAAACATTTAGGATCTAAAACTTGTTTCAAGAAATTTATGATGAATGAGGAAAAGAAGGGTATGAACAGCACAAAATGACTTATGTATAAACAAATAAAATAGAATAATAATACATAAAACATAGGTGTAGCAAACTGAAGTAAATGGCTTTTATAAAATCACAGGTTTTGGATATATTTAAAATTGTAGACCAAGAGACTTCAACTAAAAATTTAACCTAGTAATAAATGCCAATTACTTTATTTAAAGACAGATAATTCCAAAGTTGGATATAAAACAAAATCCTGGCTCCGAGAGTTAAATTACCATAAGCAAGTACCATAAATGATGGAGAAATGAGGACAGAACTGACATAATAATATTAATAATTAACCTGTCCAAGACCACACAAATAGAAAATGGCAGAACTAGCTCTAGAGGCCTACGTCATCATACTCTATGTCTGGTGTCAATTCCATCATCAGTAGTTTCTTCTCCAAGTGACACCACTTGCCCCACCTACCTCAAAGGATCTATGAGAAGTAAAATAAAATAACTTGTAAAGGAAGGAATCAAAAAGTACAAATCTTCTCAATCATGAAACACAAGGAAGGGATTAGGACAAAACTCTGTCAGTTGACTAACAGAAATATTCTGGAAGAACACAATTTGTATCCTATTTCTAAAATGGTAATAAATCAGGATATATCATCTTTTCCCCTATTTCAGTGATATTTACAAATTCAGAAAATTCCCTAGGTTTTTACCTCTTCTGTCTCAATGCAGTTTATTGATGGTTATCTTTGTTTTGCTGTGTGTTACTTTTGAAAAGAAATGTTGAGTAACATGTTTTGCAGTCTGCACAATGTAGGACTTTAATGACTGCTCATGAGTCATGTCTGTAATGCTAATTCTAAAAGGAAATCTTGTCAAAAAGAAAAAGAACCTGCATTTCCAAGAAAACGCTATTCCACTAGATGTGGCCCCACTTCATTTTCTTCCTTGCCCAAGGATGTGTACATGCTTTTTATTTTATTTTTTTAAAAGAGACATCCAATTTTCTTCCTTAAACTTGGATTTCCCTTCCTTTTATTTCCAGCCTAAAAATTCAACGCAAAGGCTGGCTTCAGTAAGAGAAAAATATAGACTGACAGTGTTACCCAGATACTTTAAAATGATTAAACAAGGCTTCATTGTTAAATTGAAGTGTAATTACAAAGAGGAATCAGTATATTGAGTATCTATTCTACCCCAAATAGGCTATAAATGCAGGATACTCTGAAGAAGGATGTGGAAGGACCAAACCTAAAGGAAATTAAGATTTATTATAAAGCTATGATAATCGTAATAACTAAAAATGTAATTATAGAATTCACATAGTATCAAATTTGGACAAAGCTTAGCAAATAGACCAGGGATTTTATTTTTCAACAATATGCTAAAATATAAAACTTGATTTAAAAAAACAAGAATCAAGACTCCCCAGGAACTATCAACAGCTCCTGAGAGGAAATATTTGCAATAGTTACATAAATTATAACAGATTATTACCTAAAATATATAAAATACTTCTATCAGCCCCTCCCCCCAAAAAAGAAAATCTTACAGAAAAAAAGAGCAGGGATATGAACAGGCAATTGGCAGAAGAGTCAATGTGAATGGCCAAAAACACAAGCATTACTTAGATAAGAAAAAAGTTATCAAAGTAAGTAGATGAGAAAAAAAATGAAGGAAAATTTTAAGACAGAAGAGTGGACTTGGGGTGGGAGGTTGCCTCATGAATAGGCCCTCGGTTCAATCCCCAACACTACAAAATAACAAGAATGAAAAAAAAAAAAGCCACAGAAGAATGTTAAAGTATTGGGGTGGTGGGTTGGTAATTAACCCCCCTCAGTTTTTTGCAAACTTTCTGGAAGTTTCTTACATTAATATTATTGCTTCAAACATTTTAAGAATAACGAAGCCAACACTGATATGAAAATCCACCACTGGAAAGAACATGACTTTCATTTGCTATCCTGTTTCCCTCCTCTCTCTGTTCCTTTCTACAAGAGTAGACATATTTCCCCACATCTCTCTGGGGGAACCTCTTGGTGACCTTGTGTACCAATCAAAACTCCAGTGAGCACACTGAGGAGCTAGTGCCAAACTGCCATCAGAGTCTCTCTGACTTCCCCACTAATCGCTCCCTGTGCTATAAAAAGATGTGATGGGAGAATGAGGTCCCAGCCAGCCCTCCCGCCAACTGCCTGGCCACAAGGTCTCCGCAGGACCTCCTCGAATTTCCAATTCCTCAAACATAAGAGGAGGAGTATCTACTAGTGATGGTCTCTTAGGTTCCCCTGTTCAAACTTTCTGATTCTAGGTGCAGAGAGAAAAAATAAAGCTAGCAATAACTAAGAGAGGCTTGGGAACCCACACACTTATACCTACAAAGAGACATAACATCCACAGGATATGAAAGTCATGACTCCATGTGGACTGACTATTTGGATTTTGCTAACTGCCTCCACTCACTTTATAGTCTCTATTCACATCACTGAGCTGCCAATAATCATTAGGGAGGCCCATTCGCTTGTATTCTTCACTGAGATCGATCTGCATCCAACCTTGTTCTCTTTCTTCTTTATCCAGCTTGGGGTTGAATGAAAAGCAGTATAACTCCTCATATTTCACTGCAAGAAAAGGAAGAATAAGCCAAATCAAGCTGAGTCAAAGCCAGAACCAAATCTCCCCAAAAACATTCTTTCCCAGCTAGAGCTCACCATCCCAGCCTCTCACCCCTGGCACAATCCCAGAAGTACCCTCTGTGACCAGGGTCACCCAGCTCCTCCTCCTGACAAGGTCTTGGGGCATCTGGACTCAACTTTGCAAGAGCTTCTTTCCTTTTAGAAAACAAGGCTTTTCCTCCCTGTGTTTCCCCCCACCCACCTGCCTAGTTGCTTTAAAAGTGAATATTTTTTTCCAAACCACATAAAATATGAAGCATAAAAATAATGAAGAATGTGTGTGTTCTTTAGACATCAATAATTCAAGATATATATCTCAATTTGGGGTTTGGAGTAGCCTCTCAGAGGTAGAAAGGAGGCCAGGCCACTTCCACATTTTGATGCTCACAATACTAAAAATTAAATATCAAAACAGTTGGAAAAGCTGTTTATGTTTAAAAACACTTGAACATATAATAACTACTTAAATATAACTGTACTGCTCATATTGATTAGATTCATAATAAGATATCAATGTGTAAGACACAGTGGTCTGGTCATGGAGTCAAAGGATGTACCATCAAAGTCTTTTCTCAAATTTTTCATGGTATTTCTGTCTTTATATATTGCCTTTTATGCTTGTGAGGCCAAGCCCAATGACCACATTGTTTTTCTTTTTGCAATAAGATTTAGGATTTGGTTTTCTTCCTCGGTTCTTGCCATAAAAGGAAAGTGTCCAGGCGAGCACTGTCCATCAGCAATACAGTGCAAGCCACATATGTTATTAAAATTGTCCTTGCAGCCACACTTTAAGAAGTTAAAAAAATGAAATTAATTTAGTAATATTTTGCACTTAACCCAATATACCCAAAATATTATCATTTCAATGTGTACACGATGCAAAGTATATTAATATTTATACACTTCATTTTCTACCATCTTTGAAATTCCATGTGTGTTTTATATTCAATGACACGTCTCAGTTCAGATTCAGTCACATTTTAAGCACTAAACAGCCAGTCACATGTGACCAGTGGCTACCATAATGGACTGTTCAAACCTAAACATTACTACTAATAACTAATAAAGTCCTTTTTTTGTTCTAGATTCTGCCCTAATAAATGTATTGATCCAGTTAGTAAGCACTGTGGTGGTTCTCCTTTTAAAGATGAGAATGTGAGGCAAAGAAGTCTGAGGAACATTCCTTCACACAGGGCCACGAGGCTAATGGGGGAGAAATGAAGACTGAGATGAGGCTGTCTAGCTGCAGACTGTAGGCTCCGGACCACGGCTCACACGTTCCTCCAAGTCAGATCCTTCTCTGCTCTTCCCATACTTTCCTTGTTTCATGCCCCTCGTCTTCCTGTTTCTCTCAAATAAATTTCTCCATTTTCGTATTTTTCCTACATCCTATTTATTCCTTCACTTGCTAATAGTCTTCAGTTAGCACAATTTTTTTTTAAAGGGAGAGAGAAAGAGAGAGAAAGAATTTTTGATATTTTTTTCTTTTTCTTTTTAGTTTTCGGTGGACACAACATCTTTATTTTATTTGTACGTGGTGCTGAGGATCGAACCCAGCGCCCCGCGCATGCAGGTGAGCGTGTTACCGCTTGAGCAACATCCCCAGCCCGAGTTAGCACAATTTAAAGCTCCTAGACACATGTATTTGGAGACCCTATAAATAATCTCACCACCTGCAAGAGGATGAGTTACACACAGGCAGTTTCAAACTCGTGTTGGTTGCTGCTCTGAGGTGACTCAGACACATGGAAGAAAGACATGGTCGTATTTTAAGTCATTACACACACACTTCTACGAATAAAAAGAACTTGACTGGATACCTTAGACCCTTTCAGTCTCTCTTGATGTCATCTTTCTAAATTTCAAAACTTGAAATACTGACTATTTGAACAAATGATAAAATACATACAGGTGCATGGACACGTAAACACAGAGCAGACTCCAGTAAAAATGGTTTCTTGTCAGCTTATTGGGAGACAGCATTAAAAAAAACTGAGATCCTGTTCTGGGAACAGCTGCTTCAACACTGACACATCTTTTCCATCTTTAAGTACCATTTTCATGACTCAGGCTTCTGCTACCATAATGTTAACCACAAATGCAATTTGTTTAAGATGCCAAAAGAATCTCTTGAGAACACTACAGTTCCCTCTGAAGAAAGAGCTGATGAATATGGGGTAATAGTGGAAGTTAAGTTTTCTTGGTTAAATATTTACAAATAGGCTTAGAGGTAGAGAAAAACATTCTAGGATTCCTGATAGTTCTCTGTGTATGGGTGGATGCCTGTTTCTACTGCGAAGAGGCAATAAAACTGTACATAAACAAAAGCAAAATTAATTCATAACAGACATTAAAAATACTCTTAAGACATCAAGATCACTCTAAAGACATCAAAATGGGTTGACACTGAAATTTAAAATTTTCTTTTGGATATTTTTAAAGAAAAGGATGATCAGCCAAACCTCAGGCCCAACTGAAATAAAATTCTATATGAAGGCAGAAAAAACTCCTTTTTTGTTAAGTCAAAGCTCAGTCTTGTTAAAGTGGGCAGCTTCTTGTTAAAATGCCCAGAAGAAAACAGGACTATCTGCTCTGAAAAATTAAAAGTATATTAACACAAATGTAAATGTCACTGGATATATCCAACCTTGTAATTTTCTGTTCCTCTCACTCCCAGTTCCTAAAAAATACATAACAAAATCTTTAGCAAGCAACAGGGAGGTAAGATAAAAAATTGAAGGCTAATTTTTGTTTGTTTGTTTGGGTTATAGACCTTTTAAAAAATTACATATTGACAAATTATAGCGGCATACAGTTATGAGGTACGGTGCCATGTTGAGATTTTTAAATATAACGTGGAATGATTAAATCAACCTAATTAACATATCCTAACCTCAAATACTTAACATTTTTTTAATACTTATTTTTCAGTTGGACACAATATCTTTATTTATTTATTTTTATGCAGATTGAACCCAGGGCCTCACACATGCTAGGCGAGTGCTCTACCACTGAGCCACAACACCAGCCCAAATATTTAACATTTTATGATTAGAACATTTGACGCAATACTGAAATATACAATATTCAATTACTAGCTATGTTCGCCATGTTGTGGAATAGATCTTTTTAAAAAAAGTCAGGCTCATTCTTCCCATCTTGATGAAAGGAGAGTGCACACATTTCTTCAACATATTGATTTCAGGTCTTCTGGATAAATACTCAGAAGCAGAACTGCTGTATCATGTGGTAGTTCTATTTTTAATTTTTTGAAGACTCTCCATATCATTTTCCATAATGGCTGTAATAATTTACATTCCCACCCACAGTGTATGAGAGTTTTTTTTTCCTCCACATCCTTACTAGCATGAAAGAATTATCATCCTTCTTTTTTATATTAGCCACTCTAGCAAGTGTAAGGAGATCTCTCAATGTGGCTTTAATTGCTTCTCCCTAATGATGAGCAATGCTGAGCATTTTTTTCATGTATCTATCCTCTTTTGAAAAATGTCTATTTAGGCTCCTTGGCCACTTCTTAATCAGATTATGTGTTTTCTTTCTTTAGAGTTCAGTTCCTTACATATTTTGGATACTAATCCCTTATTTTAAAAAATGGCTTGCAAATATTTCCTCCTGATCCATAGATTGTCTCTTCACTGTTAAGTGTTTCTTTGTTGGGCAGAGCTGCTTTTCATTTTAGAAAAATCTTTAAACTTCATAGAATTTTAACTGAGGGAAAAATATTTGCCTACTCTATCTAGAAAATAGATCATCCCTCAGTTGATTTGCTATTCTTAAAATACCTACTCTTAAAACATGTCTGATACTTCACTGTGTGTGCACGTCACAAAGTCTGGAGTCTTTTGCTGTTAGGGACCAGCAGGTTCAAGAGGATGTGCCCTGAGGGCCGCATTCTAAGAGGCCCCATTACTGGAAGGGCACAGGAGTTCTTTCTTCCCATAAGAATGTTTGTATAAATATGTCAAAATAGACTCTACTGTCATCTGTAACTGAAAAGAAGAGATACAAATTTTTAAAAAAGAGAAAATACTTTACATGCCTCTGGACTGAAGGAGTAAAATTCATGGGCAGCTTGAATTTTAAAATTTAAAAAAAAAATTTCAGAAAAAGTATGTGGAAATAAAGATTCAGAAACCAAAATGACAATTGCTAACATGTTACATGAAATGAAAAGTGAATATCAGTTCAGCTGCATTTCTAGAATAGCCTAATCATGTGCTTCAGTCAAAAGCAGGACCTTCACCCAAACACAGAGATGCATGTTTTGACTGATATTATTTCTGCATTGTTCATGGTAGTCTTCTTTAACCCATGGAAACATGTCACTCCAATCCAGTTCCATCTCCATTGCTCTCATCAACCTCCTTACTCTCAGATAATCTCTCTCTAGAGAAGATGCAAGAAAGGCTTCTGGTGGAAAACTCTAGACTTGGAACTAGCAAGCCAGCAAATGGTGCCCCCATCACCTCCCACTCTCTGCTCCTTCCCTCCCACACAAATGAAAGGATGCTCAATTCTGCCACAGGAAAGAGAGAATGGGGAAGACAAAACATTAGGGAAGAAAGGAAAATAACCTAGCTTGATTCTCAGGTATTGGGAAAAGGTTATGAAAACAGAATATTTAAGGAAAAATATGGAAGAACAGCCTCTTATTATAGACTAAATGAAAAAAATCAGAAGGTAATTTAATATTAAAATCAAAAGTACTTTAAAATTGAAAGAAAAACAACACCATTTCAGCATGAGCACAATGTGACAATGGATAAGGAGGGCAAAGTTACAAGCTATATCAGAAGGACACAGAAATATGGGGGTTTTTGGGCTGGGGATGCAGCTCAAGTGGTAGCACGTTTGCCCGGCATGCGCATGGCGCTGGGTTCAATCCTCAGCACCACATACAAATAAAGATGTTGTGTCTGCCGAGAACTAAAAAAAATAAATAAATATTAAAAAATTCTCTCTCTCTTACAAAAAAAGAAATATGGGGGTTTTAGTAACTCGTGATAAACAAATTGCTCCAGATATTCTGCTGAATTCAAGCAACTAAAATAAATGTAGTCGAAAGACCATCTGGAGTGAGGTGAAACTAACACAACTTTTGTTGGATTTTGTATATTTAAAGTAAAAGTAAGGAGGATGCCTATTTCGAATTAAGCATTAGGACTACTGACACTAACACAGTGAAAATGGACTACTAAACTCAGATTAGCATCATCAATAAGAAACTCCACTTTAAAGTCCATTTGAATATCAATGACTAAGAAGAAACATAAAAAGTTAAAATTAAGCAAATGAGACCACCTTACTTATGAGTGTTTTTTTTTTAATGATAATAAATAAACTAGGATGGGGATGTAGCTCAGTGCAATAGCACAGCACGTGCTTTGCATGTGTGAGAACCTGGGTTCAATCCATAGCACAGGGAAAAAAGAAAAAAAAGATTGCAGAGGAATTGGAAGTTGAGATGCTGAGATGAACTAGAAAGCTGTAATTTAGTAAAAATGGGAAAATAAACAAAAGAAATTATTTAAATGTTAAAGGGCCCACAAACACTAAAGAAGGAAAAATAATTGATATAAAAACAAACAACAGAAGGCAAATGAGAAGCAAGAATTAAGAGAACATGGGAAAAACAGAAGCCCTTGAGAAACAGGGGTCTTTCAATCAGAAAACTTTATCTCCTTATTCGTAATTGGATCTATGGGGTTTAACTTATTTTCTCATTTAGGTCACAACTTTTATTTTAACCTGCTTCTTTATTGAGAATTAAAGAGCTTACTGAATTTGGCCACATTATTTTGTATCAGAATCTTTTATAGCTCCTGACCAAATGCTTACCATTATTCTTACAAAAGGCAAAAAAAAAAACCTCTCCCAATTTTTCAGTAATTTGATTTACCTTCATCCCAGAAATCCTAAGAATCTTGAGAGCTTTACAAACATCTCTTTCACAGTGATATACCCAGGGGAAGGAGAAGGGGAAGGGGAAGGGGAAGGGAAAGGTGCATTTTGAAAACTATCCTTAGAGGGTTCTGATGAACTACTCCTTCCCCAGGTTGAGAGTGGCCTTTTCATATCTGACCCCCTCTACCTCTCCTCATATCCACCCAGTCTCAAAACACTGCTTCCAAGGGTGGAGCCAGTAATATGTCCTGACTTCAGCACTGCCTTTAACATAAAGCTGTGAAACCGCCTTTAGTTCTATTTCATCTTCCCACACTTATTAAAGCACTGTGTGTTACATAAACTGACATTTCTAATGCCCATATTCAAACTGTTAGTGAGTCTTTTTAAATCCTCTCAGGTGATGGCTTTAAGTCAATTAATTGCTATGCTTCCTTTTTTGGAAAAGGTAACCAGTCAGGTCTCTGGCTGCCTTTAATACCTAACTCCCAAAACATCACCTTTTAAGAAAAAGTACATATTTTTAAAAGCAGAGGAACAGAATGGCTTTCTTCCTTGTGGATCCTCGCAGTGAAAGTCCTGGCACTTTCTGGCTCCAGGCCACAGCCCCCTCCACCGCTGTGATCTACTCTTCCAGCTGCTCAGCCCTTTCCCAGTTCTCTAGACTATTACTAAATCCCATTAATCCGGTCACAGCACATTTATTACCCAGTACATCCATTAATCAGTGACACAGAAGTTGCTGGCACACAATTCTCCTCGCATTCTCTGCTGCGTGCAACCTAATGTACATCTTCCCAGAACTTCTGTTCCAATTATAGTGCACCCTCTAAAAAGTTCAACTGCTTTTCTGGCTTACTCTGCATTTCTTTTCAACATACTTAGAGGGAAAGACCTCAACCAACTGCCTTTAAAGGGGAACAAAGCAAAATCAAAAAATTACCAGATTTTGATAGCTGGCACGCATCATTTCCATTAGATATGGCTCTTAGCTACCTACAAATGATATGGTCATATCATAAGGAACTCAAGACCCCGCCAATGCCTTGAAAAGTTCACAAACTTCTTCTCCTGAATCAAAACGCATCTGGCAAAGTAAATAAGCATATATCCCATTTCCTTAATTGAGGACTGCTATGTAACACTTTACTTCTATATAAATTTTTTTTCATGGTATGCTCTGAAGGAACCTAGAAGTTCCCTTGAGCAGAAGAATTTCACAGCTGACACAAGCCACACAGAAAGACAAAAAACACTTCTGTAGAAGTAAATAGTAAACTAAAGGCCCCAATGTGACACACAGGCTAGACAATAATGTAAATGAAAGAAACTATTTTTTGAAAATAGACATTCTTCTCACCATATCTAAGGACGTTCTGTTTAAAAGAATCAATACATCCATATCCCAAATATTCACTGTTGCTAACAAAAGTCTAGTTAGGTGCACCAACCTTGAAAAATATGTATTATATCAAAAACCAAGGAAACCAAACCTTAAAATCTCTGAGAGGGAGAGGAATATACAAGAAGTGTTTGGTTAACAATGCTGCAAAACAATTTATCAGTTCTGTCTTATCCCTCATTCAAGGTGGCTCAATTACCATAGTATAGCAGAAGGACATAATTTTAAGATGATTTCATCCTAAAAGGAAAACACACAACCTCTACCAAGAAAATGTGAATACCAAGATTAATGAAAGAGGCCCATCAAGTAACAAACTCAGGAGAAACCCCCAAGGACAAGGAACTACATGGCAGGTGTTCATGCAGATTTCTTGGCCTCAGCTAAGGACAAGGACGACATACAATTCCTAAAACAGCAGCATTCATAAAACTGAAGAAATTCTTGCACATAATTTGTGATTTGCTTAAGAGTGGGTCCATATTCAATGCCAAGTCCTCTGACCTACCTGGCCGTGCAAGGCGTGTCAGAGAGATGTACACGTCATGGCAATCTCTTTCTTGTGGTATGATGAGCTGTATGATCTGAAAGTTCTTGCAGCGAATCAGAAGAGGACATCCAGTAGCAGCTGTTGCCTGTTTTTCAATGGTGGAAATCTGACTGTGAAGAATCTAGAAACCAAAAGTTATTTTGGATGCACTAAGCACAAATAACCAAAAAATATGACAAGGACTAACACAGGTCTTTGAGCCACACGAATAAGAAACACAACCCAACCTTCAGCTAAGTCACCACCTGTGCCCAGATAACAAGAAATGAGATGTTCCAAGTGAGAACCAACTGTCTCGATTTAGCTTTTTTTTTTTTATACCAAGCTTTCTGATATCCAGCATAATTATTTTGAAACAAACTATTTAGCATGCAATTGTGCACAACTTCAGGTAAGAGAACATTTAGTACTTAAATGTTGAATATGCTTAAGAGCTAAAATTAAATAAGGTCATGGGAAGTTAGTAAAATAAACTTTTTGCAATCAACAGAAGTTAGAGATGGCTCCACTGGGAGGTGCCACCATGCTCCTTAATTCCACATGGAACACTCAAGTTCAATAGCAACTTGGGGTTGTTGTTTTCTGAGCTGTTGGTGGTCAGGCAAGCTGCAGAAGAAAGGATTTATTTTATTTTTTAATTTTCTCTTACTTTCAAGTGACAAATAATAACTATGTACAGTATTAGGATACAATGTGATGTTCTAATGAATGTGTACAATGAGGAATGAGTAAATCAAGCTAATATACCCATCATCTTGCTTATCTATCATTTCTTTAGGGTGAGACAGTTGAAATTTGCTCTCTTAATTATTTTGAAATATACATTATTACTGACTATAGTACCTCTCTGTGCAACAGACCTCAAAACCTACCTTTCCTGACTATTTGAAACTTTGTACCTTTGGTTAACAACTTTCCATTCCCTCCCTCCTTACCCCACTTCCAGCCTCTGGTAACCACTGTTCTGCTCTCCAAGGAAGAGATTTCACTGAAGAGAAATCATGCTAAAGTGCATTTCTCTGGTCTTTCAAGGTCTACACTATATCCTCCATGGCAGCACTTCATTCTCCAAGCTCCTGTCCACCCCACAGTGCCTGCCACCTCTGCAAAAATGTAACACTGTCCATGGAGTCTGGAAAGGGGGATATCTGCCATTCAGGGATTCTGGTTTGGTCATAATGTCAAGGTTAGACTACTGAATACATTAAGAAATATCTAATATTTTTACTTTAAATAGCAGATGGGACTCTTCTCTAGATTTTCTTTTCCAAATTATCAGATAGATAGAAACAACCTAATAAAATGATTGAATGGTTGCGTTATAGGATCCTGCAAATAATGTGTATATAACAAATTAAGCACTATGAAAATGCTGTATCTGGCATATTGACATTATTGAATATCTACTTGATGGCTATAATAACATGAAGCACTTGAACCTGCAGGCTATAACTTGGTTTGTCTTTACTGATGTCCAAGTGGTTAGTGTTAACAATGATTAAGTTGATCGGGTGGATATGACTCAGCAATAGAAAAGGACAAGGCACACATTCCAGAGACAGTCCTTTGAACATCCAGACCCCAACAGCCCCCACCTTACCCTGAGGAAAGAACTTAGGGTCACATTATTTTACTTCCAGCAACAGAAAATATGAAAAGCCAAAAACAGGAAAAACATACCCATGTTTCTTTTCTTGCATCAGGTACATTTTCTACAAATATGACGTGAGTAGCTGTCAGATACAAAGTACCAAGGGCTGCTTTTTTAGAAGACATTCGATCAACCAACCGGACATTTTCAACCTAGAGAAACCAGTTTGATGGAAAGAGTTTTAGTGAAGCAAAAGGGCTATTCAGATAATAGCAGGCAATCTCCTACTTACTCTAATGTAGAATTTTGAGAATTCCTACAGTAACAAAAACCAAAATGTACCCCTTATTTAGACTTCAATATGATAATGTATATAGAAGATAAATATTCACCAATTACTAAAAGACGACTTTAAATGTACTATAAAGCATTTGTAGATTCTATCCTTTCTTTGAGGTTTAAAGAGGTCCAAGTTTTCACTTCATAGTAATTACACAAAAATTCTAATTTAAGGCAGAAAGTGTATGCAGTAAAGCTCTGAGATTACACAGTGACTATGCATGAACTACAGTCTATGAAAAAGAAAATGAAATGTGATCTCATGTGTTTCTAAAGTTGTAGAAATGTCCTTATGGTTGTTTGCCGTCATATAAACCATAGTAGGAAACACAAACATACATTTTGGGGAAAAAAGTATCAGAGAAATGTATATAAAGAAACCTTACTAATTTAAGATCCTCATATTCATTTAGAATAAAATCTTTTGAATGACAGAATTCTCATCACCGAGCTAAAAATTCAGTGGTTGCAAGAGATGCCTGCAAATGATTCGTTTTTCAAGCATTCAGTTGTTTATGTGGAGCAATGTCAAGGATGTGTGCCCTGGGATCATCCCAACATGAAATGCAATGGAAAGGTCAAGACAACCTCCACAGGACACCGGAAACTGAAACTGGAAATGCTGATAATTTAATTAATCATATTGTGAGTATACCAATTAATCAGAAAGCTTTTATCATACACATTATTTATTATTTGAAACAAATAAAGATAAATCTTATTCTGGAAATATTTCTTTAATAATGATTTCAATTTTTTATATGGTTACAGAGCTGTTCCATGTCTCCATTTTTTTCCTTAATCTTCTTTTGGAATCTATTTTCTTTACAAACTATCTTCTTAATGCACATTTTCAAATTCTTAATATTTTTAAATCCTTCTCTGGGGTCAAACCTCTCCCTTTTCATCTCTTCTCTAATTCCTAATATTGTGAATTGTGCTTTTACCATTTTGTGATTAGACAGGTAAGGTCTTTTTCTTTAAAGCAAATAGGTCTTAAATTATCGACTTTATAATTTTTCTCTTTTCTAATTTGTTAATTTCTGATTTTGATTGTTAATAAATGTTGTAACTTGCCTTCCTTGGGTATATCATGTGGTTTTTGTTTACAAATCTCCAGATTTAATAGTTTGTTAATTTTCATTATGTTTGTTTAATAACAAAAGTTTTTAAATTCAAGCATTTTCCTCCAAGTAAATCTTTGGCTGCATCCTTGGAGTTTTGTTTGTATACTCATTCTTCATGCTTTCTAAAAAATCTGTAATTGCAGTTTTTATTTCTTCTTTGACCCAAGAGTTTTTATGGAGAATATTTTTGAATTCCCACATGGTTGGATTTTTTTTATTTAAAATTTTGTTATTAAACATTCTATTTTGAACTAACTACAAGAAACGATATTATTAAAGAGAATTGTGGAAAAGAAAAAATAAGAGGATATATTATTTTTAGAACATTTTTGGGGGGGAGAAAAACTCATTTGCATGCTAAAACTAAGCTAAATTAAGCATAGGACCAGAGGCACTATACCAGTTAACAACATCTAAAAATGGAGTACAAATAGTTTTTCCTGGACTTAGGGCTAATGAAACAAGACTTTTTGGGGATAATATATTGACTATAAAGGAATATTTTTGAACCAAAAATATTTAGCATAAATTATTTTTTCCTACAGAAGTGACAGAAGCCATACCACTTAAATTATTTTTAGAAAATCAAGTGGAACAGAATAAGGTACACAGATGTCGATAGATTGGAATACATAGTGGGAGTTTTCCATGTCTATTTGTTAACTTTGGATGCTGCTGCAGGAAAATTAAATTTCAAAATTTGGCAATGGTTCTCATAGGTCCCAGAGCTGTCAAAAGCAATTCTAAAGTTATGGAGGGAAAAAAGAAATGAAAAAAAAATGAGGGAAACACCAACAGCATGATTTCCCAGTGATGTGTAACAGCAAAAGAAATGAAGAGTAAAGATTAAAATTCTGTTACCTAATAAATTCTGTGAAGACAGAGAACAGTGTTCAGGGATCATGTCATGGTACATACTAAGCCAGAGCAACTTAAAAATGAAATAAAACTCAGAGTTCCGGCACCACCCTGAAAACCCCCTGGTTCAACAACTGCCTCATCGCTGAGCTTCTTAAATTCTATCTCATCTACATATGTAATAACTTACACAGCAATAAGGCTTCTTTCATATTTGGAGAGATAAGACTCAGGAAACTACCCATTTCTTGAGGCAAACTTATTGCAGCTTAGCCACAAACTCCTGGGAACACGGCTTAAAACACACTAGATATGCATGCTCTGGGCAGGGCATTTAACCTACATGAAGTTGCATACATTTTTCACTTCCTGACATTTCTGACAATGAGATTCACATATGACTAATGTGATGTCACTGTGTCATTTAGTTGGCACTGCTTTTTTCTTTCTTGGTGGGACATAAAATCTGCTCCTCTTACCATCACTGATTTGCTGAAATGCAGTAAATTTATAGTTTTTGACTTATAAATGATATCTGAGGCCATGGGACTGAAGGGAGAGTATGCAGAGTGGAAAGAGAAGAAATATGAGGAAATTCAATGTTTAAAGGTCCCATAGAAGAGGAGGATCTGAGAGCAAAGTTGACAGGAGTGGCCAGGAAGGGGGCCATTAATCAGGAGATGTTGCTGTCAGGGGGATGGCAGAGGGAATGCTTTGAGAGAGAGGGATTTTTTTATATCACATGGTGCTGAAAGATGGAGGAAGGCAAGAACTGTAAGTTGTCCATGAAACACACTAGCAACCTTAAAAGAAGTGGTCCTGCAAGCACCAGGATCAGAAGCCATAACCATGAACCTGACGCACAAACTCACAGGCACTTAAGAAGGTAAAGAGTTCCTCTATGCAGAAGTGAGGCTGTAGGGTACAAGACCAAAGCACATTAAGAACTTTTCAGGAGGAAATGGCAGATCAAGATGCTGTAGAGACAGAAGCCCAGCATCACCAACAAGAGCACCGCACTGTGATACACACAGGAAACACACTAACTCCATTAGAGGGATCTCAGAGGAACATATTTTAAAGGATTAGAAAAAGGAGATAAGGATGATTGGGTAAGGATTTGTTTTCCTGCTTATGGTAAAATCTCTTCCAACCCTATGAAGTTCCTCAGTTTATAAAACTGGTCTTCAAAAATTATGTACAAATTGATTAAATGTTCAAAGATTCAGTCATATAGAAGGAAGAAAATCACCCCTAGGACCATAATCCAAATATAAGCACTGTTACTCTTTTAGAGTATTTTAGAATATACCTATACCTTGTTTTAAGTGTTTTATTACATACATTATTATTTCTTCTAGAAGTGATAGAATAAATAATCCCCAGGGATGGGATAGACAAGTATAATATAATTTGTTTGAAGTCATTTGCTCTAACGTAGCATCAATCCTTCCTTTGCCCTAACCATCCAAACAGCTGCCTATATACCAAAAAGCCTTCCTTGATAGTTTGGTGTTGCTTTCATTTTCCTTTTTTTTTTGGTCAGGGTGGAGGTAGAAGGGTTCTAATTCAGGAAAAGGCAGATTCCATTCTAGCTGTCATTGAATAGAGATGCACACACAAATGGATGGTAAAACAACCTACCCCCTGTACTAAGCAGCAAATATTGCCAGAGAAGACTTCAAAAATGCAAGAAGCCATGGAAGCTGGTAGAAATTCTCAGGAGAACCTTCGAGTAAGAGAATGGGGGGTGTTTAAAATAACTCTACCAACATCTCACAGATCAGGCCAAACACAGACTCTTGGTTTATGTAAAAATCCTCAAAATAACAACCAATAATAAAAAAACAACAAATATTATTAGAATATGTGCTTACTCTATGTCATACTTCATTCTACGGTTCTGCATCTCTGACCTTAGTTAACTCCCTATATTAGTTAGGTTCTTACATAAACCCCATTTCAAAGTTCCATTTACAGACTTGACAAATTTCCTCAGCTCATGCAGGGAACAGAAAGCAAGGTTCAGTCTGTAGCTAAGGTTCATCTAACCCCAAACCCCAAGGTACTCATTCATCTCGGTCTTTGAGGTCATTCTAGTACTGTTACTTAAAATTAATGTTTAGAATAATCAGCTGGCAATTATTTTAAGCAATCTTATACATGAAATTTGATTTTGAAAACACAATGCTTTAAGACAAAATTATACTGTAAAAATATATGCAAAACTGTTATCAGAATGCCATCCTTTGAGATAAACCCAAAGACAGAAACTTGGAAATAGGATATGAGAGCCCAAACATTGGCCCAGACAGATTTTCAAGATTCTCAGAAGAAATAAAAGTGAGCACTGAACATCTAATTCCATGGAACAAAATGCCTCTGTGTAGCACTGAGTTAGGTTCTGAAAAGGAAAACAAAGACAGAGTCTTTGTATACCCTCTAGAATCTTACAGATCCAACAGAAAAGACTGTGCCCCAGTTTAACATCCTTTTTTTTATTCCTATCCCTCCTCTGTTGGTGTTAGATTGAGGGAGGAAAAAGGTTTTGTCAGCTTTTCTGGGCCAGGGCTGAAAAGCTTCAGTGAAAACATGGGGCTCCAACAAAGCGCTGCCAGGTCTGAAACAGGACACCCTGGCTACAGGACACAAGTCCTTCTTCGCCCTTCCCTGCTGCCTAGGAGTCAGGAGGACCTTATAAATCACAGAGAGACAGAGCCTCTCTTCAGAAATTCTGATGGTGCCACCTTCTAATTTCAATCTTAACAGAATAATAAATATGGATCTTTGCTTTCTACCCTGAAGGTCAAATGGTAGACTGCTGAAGATTGTGGGTTCCAGAATCATCTAGGACTATCTGCGTAAGTAAAGCTGCTCTGCAGGACAAG